AGCATTGCCCTGGTCTAGGAGGGTTTACCGGAATTGGGAAAGGGGATGGGCAAGAATAATCTAAGAATCGTATTCAAATTATTTCTTTTGGCAGCCCGCACGCCGCGCCAAAATGGCATTCTCGCCACAGCAAAACACCGTGGCCCTAGAGGATCGAACGGGGCGAGCCGCGACGAACGAAAATGCCTAACGTCGTCTGGATCTTCATAAAAAGAGGTATTGGCCGAACGTAGAAAAAATCCAACAACCGGGTGGCAATTTGCAGACCACGCCAAAAACGGCTGTTGGCAACAACAAAACAATCATAACAAAACGAATTGAATTCCAAATCCTAGCCGGAGGCATACATATCGGTCACACTCCAGTGGGCGGCCATTACCAGATTGTTCTGTTCAACTTAGGTGCCGGCATTTTATATAATGACAATCGGAAATCGACACGATTTGTTAGAGACAATGCATTTTACCAAAATATCTATCTATTATGATTTCCCCCCATGCAAAAGATTCGAATAGAATTTCGCTGTCAATCCCACGTCGGTCCCACTCGGTGCTCTGATCTCACATCATCTAACATGAGCACTTTCGCATCCAGATGGGCCATAGATCCTCCTGAAGGATCCACGCTTAATCGTGCGGCCCAACACGGGCAGACCTGATTCGTTTGTTAGTAATTGAATGAATGAATTACAATAAGATCTATTTCGTTTTCAATTCCGATATTTTTTATCAAACAAACTATTGTTAGGGGATCTCAATTCTTAAGATATATCCGCGTTTTGTATAATTGCTGGTATCCACCCTTTCCATTGGCCATGTAGTATTTCTATTCATTTATCTTCCAATTATCAATGGTTTAATAATATCCATCCGCTGGTCATGAAGCATTTGTCTCCCAGGTGTCTAATTGATGGTATTCGTCTTTTTCTGTTGACTATATATATTCATGTATATTCCAGATTTGTCATTAATGTTTTTTTTTGTTGCCAAGATCATTAAAATTATTTCCATTCATTTATTTCTATTCATTTATTTTCGAAATCTGTCACTAATAATTATCCATCCTTTTCCGATGACCATATAACATCTCTGTTCATTTGTCTCCCAGATCTGCCATTGCTAGTGTCCGTCCTTTTCCATTGGCGATGCATCATTTCTATTCATTCCTCCAATAATATATTATGAGGATTTTTCAAATCTTTATTAAATTGGGTCCGTCCTTCTATCATTATTAGTATCCGCCCATTTGCGTTGGTCATATTTGAGGACTATAGACGAACATAAAACATGGAGAAAGATTAAGGGGACGCGGAGGGAAGGCAATAATGCAACGCTTTTGTGCCACGCGCGCAAAGTACTATTGGGAATATCAACGGAATATTAAAGAAAATATTTATTTTCATATGGTATTTTCTAGATATTTAATATATTTTCTCATAAGGACGAAAGAAGAATCGAATAGATTCTTTCAATTCATTTTATAGGGGGACCGCCCCCCTTAGACGTTTCAATCTACAATTAAAATATCCAATCCTTTACGAGGATGGAAAATTATTGAAAAATTAATAAAAAAAGGGGAATCCTCCCTTCTCCCTAGAAATAAACAAATCAATTAATTCATTAAATTTATCAATTTTTAATCGTGCCAACTTCCGCTAAGCTCGCTTTCATAACAAAGATTTCAATTCAAGATTCATTCCTATTAATATTTTCCATATAATTTATTTCCAATATTCGTAGCCTACCCTATTAACGTCCGCCCTTTCCTACATTTTGCCAAACAAATAATTATTAGATATTCTCAAGGCTTTCTAAAGATATCCGCCTTATTACGAGACAACATAACCGCCTTCCGTCCGATTTATTTTTCTTTTTGTTAACCAATATATCCGCCTTATTTCCTCTATACCCAATTTTGTATTTTTTATTTTATTATTAAATCAAATTATTCCGATTCTATCCATCTTTTTATTCATCATTATATAATTTTTTTTTGCTTTATTTTTTATTATATTTATTTCCCCGTCCTTCTATTTCCTGTTTATTAATCATTATCTTCGTTTTATTTATTTTCTATTTCCTTTTATTTCCAATTTTATTCATTCTATTTTCGTCCTATTCTATTTTATTATCGTTTATATTTATCATTATATTCATATTATAAGCAATTTAATTGTTTAGATTATAATTTCTTATTAATAATTATATTTTAATATCATTTCTATTTCCTTTTATGTACCCAAATCAAAAAAATCAATATAATTTCATCCACCTAAAATCTATAATATATATGTTTCCTATTTAAATATATTATAATTAATTTCATTATACAACTATAAAAATAAATCAATATTTTTATAATATAATCAATATTCTATTTCTATATAATAATGTAAAAAACAATCCATGATTCTTAATATATCTATATTTAAATAAAATTAAATACCATCTATTTCTCCAATTCTTTACATTAAAAACAAAAATAATAAATATACTATATATAATTAAATTTTCCTTTCCGAATCGTATCCCCCCAAAAAACATATACTCTATATTTTCTATTTTACATGGTTACGTCGAAACACCACAATAATTCTAATAGACAATGCTTTAAAAATTTACGCCTAATAGCCGGGCGCCGGCCGACACAAAAGAAGACAAATATGCGGGGCGGATATCAAACAAATACAATCACACGCACACATATATCTAGACATATTCATATGTGTATAAGATGGATGACTGTTGTTGTTGTTGTTGTTGTTGCGGTGGTTCCTCCTTATGGTACTGGGGCCAAATCGAACCCGGGCGGTCTTGCGGGAATGTTAAGGCAATTTAAGGTCTATGTTGGGCCATCTGGGGCCTATGTTGGCCCACCTTGGGCGCATGTTGGGCCAGCTAGGGCCTATATTGGCCCATCTTGGGCATATCTTAGGCCTATGTTGGCCTATCTCGGACCCATATTAAGCCCGTCTTAGGCCAATGTTGGCCCATCTTGGGGCTATGTTGGCCCATCTTTAGGCAATGTTAGGCCTATGGCCTATGTTAGATCTATGTTGGAAGTAAAATGTGCCACTTATGTTTTAACATATTCTTAAGATGCGAGTTTTTTCCGTCCCGGACCTCCTCTCCGAGGCCCGAGCCACGTAAAAGCCAAGTTCTTTTTTTACCATCGCCCTTAGGATGAAATCCATTGCAGCCGAAGGGCCCGAAACCCTGTAAAATATAACGTTTTTGAACACCACGCGTAGAATACACTGTAAATTACAAGGGGATCAGTCCCTCCGCGGTCCCCCCGGTCGGCCCGAGTTGTCCAGGGCGGGTCGGCGGCTGGGGGCGCGAGCGTTAGTTACCTTCGGTAACCACCGAAGGCCTCCGGCAAGGACACGGGCTCCGGGGCCGGCGCCCGGATTAGGCTTCGATTATGTTGTTGGGGCTCAATACGATCCAGGTCGTATGGTAGAGAGGCGCTATGCCAGCGCAACGTAGAAAGCCCGCGCCCGCCTCGTCGGCGGAGATGGGTGCAGGAGGCCAGGATGCATCAGAGCCTCCGGTCTGATTGAAACAGAACCGATCAATGCCGATGCACTTCCGGTCCTGAATTGGATTCACGTTGCTCAGTGACCAACCAAGTGCACAACCAATCACTGTTCCCTCAAATGCTCCCCAAAGCTCTCACAGATCGAACTGTCGAGGCAAGCAGCCAATCATGATGGCAACGGCTATGCTCCGCTTCGTGCGTTGCGAGTGTAGTTCTTCCTGTCTGGCCCCATGTCCGAATGGCCCAAAGCAACCAATCATTGTTCCGCGCCGCATCATTCCATAAACATGAGACCCCACAAAGTCTTGAAGAAGCCAGTTTCAAACAAAGGACAAAGGCAGTTTGATCGTGGTGCTTTAGCGGATGTTTGGACAAAGATTCAACAAAACTTTAAGCAAACCCACAGGTGTTTGGAGTCACTGTGCCGTGAGGTTGATGCTGACCCGCGCCAAGCTGGTGAATTGCTGCCAGAAGGGCTCCTCCTGCAGGTTGAACGAAAGGAATTGAGAACTTCGAGGCAAGTTGAACAAAATCACAAAACGAGATTAATTGATTTATTTCTGCACGCCCATGCCAGATTGATTCATCAGGGGCAGGGGCTCCTTCGCACAGGTTCCTGTTTTTGAGGTAGGTGTGGTCCCTGGGGCTACCCAAGCCGGTTGCAGCCTGTTGGGCTTTAGGCTGTGACCAAAACCTCCAATATTAATGAAGATCGTCTCGAGCTCAAGGCAGATGCTCGGAAAGCAAGATTTGAAGAATCAGGAATTGAAGCAATGCATCTTGGAAAGGGGTCACGGCGGATGCATCTCTTCCTGGTGCTGGCAACGACATCTACACTGAGACACGAGACATGACTCCAGCTCAACTTCGTTTGACAGTGCCTGCTTGACCATCAGGCCATCAGATCAGTGTGCTTGGGAAACCAACAAATGTGCCAAAGGGTAGAATCATCAAGTCGTGCATGGTGACAATGAACAAGAAACCGTTGGCACAAAGTTTTGAGCCAAAGTGGCGCTTGTGTGTTGGTGGTCACTTAGACCCTCATCTAGGCAAGTATGAAGCGGCCAGTCCAACAGCCCTGTCTCTTGCTCATTCCCTGTTGCTACGCATTGCAACAACCCTTGGATGGACTGTCAACATCGCTGATGTCACAGCGGCGTTTCTGCAGGGGTTAGCGCTGCCGCCTTCACATCCTTTGTATGTTTCTGCTCCTTCGGGATGTCCTCCATCTACCACCACCGCCGCCACCACCTCTTTTAAAAAGAGCAACAGCCACAACACCCATCCTTATGATAGTTATGGCGATGCCAGTGCGCGAAGCTCTACAATACACCTTTTGAAATATAAACGCATATTTTTCCTATAAATTGGCCCAATATAATTGAATATAAACGGCTCATACAAGTATGTTTGATTAAACTTTAACTGTTTGTATGCCAAACCAAGCCCCATAACCATTCTCAAACTACCCATCCGCACGAGCATAAGCGCTTCTTTTCACGATGTTGAAATACATGAAAGTTCCAGGTGCTGTTGGCCGGTCTAACCAGCTTCCAATTCAGCATCAAGCGCCCCATCATCTCACGGCCGTAGTCACGGCCCGCGTTCCAAAACAGCTTTTCCTCGAAGTGGCTTCCGGAGTGACGGCCAGATCCTGCAGTTTCTGGCCAGCAAAGGGAGCTGTCGCCCCAAATAAATAACCCATCCAAAAGGCCTTCGTGCAAATAGGTCGGGCCAGATATAACTATAGGCACTACCTGTATCATCAATCAAACAAGTCTAATGCTTCGGGTACCATCACTTGACCAGCCCTCAACCGGATCTTGCCCGAATCCAAGGCCATCTTCCATGAGCAAGAAGGTGTGCGTGGCGAGATGTTTGACACGCGGGCGGCAATCTTGTCACGTGCTAGGCCAAGCAAATGTAAAAGCATGCACACATGCATGTAAGCCGGCGAGTGTGCACATATCACGTTCATTGCTACATTGCTTGACCGCACAGAAGTAGGAGCTACACCAACGTCCGATTTTTGAACATGCAAAACCTCCAAAGACTGAAGCAGTCGAGAGATAGGCCACACAATTATTGCACATGGCCAAAACAAGTAGGCATTGAATTTGCAAGCGTGCGATGTGTACACAAGGATGCGTGTTGCCCGTCCCTTGCATCCCCCCGTACGCACCCGTACGCGCGTTGCCACAACATATTTTCACGACGTAAAGGAAAAAAGACACCCCCTGAAGTAGCAGGAGTAAGTAGCAGGAGGATCTATTTCCACCTCGTAAGGAAGTAGCAGGAGGATCAATAATCAACGAACCGCACCGCCCTGAAGTTCCTGCGTCCGCCGAAGCGCAGTACGCAGGAACCGAAACAGCGACGTACATGACGTACCCGCACCAAAAGCGGTGCGAAAGCCATTTCTGCAGTCCCCTGACCAAATTTGACCGAACCTTTGGTTCACTCCAAACTACCCCTACGAAACGAAGAGTCCAACAGAGGTATCCAGCGACCTGAACTAGGACCCGTAACCTGGGGTACCTATAGGTCTATAATGGTCTATAGGGTTCTTCAACCTCTGCTAGGTTTCAAACAATTGAAACCAAACCCATCGAACCCATCCACCAATCCGACGAACACAAAAGGTTGCTGTATCCTGCTGAGCCTCGGTTCTCATTGTGCGACTCACGCCCAAAGACAGTACCACCGGGGCCCTCAGGACCTGGGCCGAAGAAGAACCAGGCGACCCCCGTCTTGGCGCGACACCAGAGCTGCGCCACCGTCTGCCGATCACCCCAAGGGTTGATCTCATCACCATACATGCCCAAGCCACTGTGTTCTACTGAAGACCACTGCACCTAAGGTTGCAAGACTGGAGATGTAAACAAGTATCGATCTGGTCAACAGCACCAGTACAAGTCGGTGCAGCTGCAGTCAAGGGACGAAGCCATCGAATCGCTCTTCACTCAAATATCCGGCGTTGAAGTCCTTCATATGACCAGGTTTTGAAACATCATTATGATCTTGATTCATCCCATGAAGTCATGGCGTGCGAGAGCTTTTCCATGCAGGAGGTTCTAGGTCCTACGCAAACCAATACTTCTAGGTCCACACCTGGGCACGATGAGCAGTTGCTGTGGCGGCAAGAACATCGATTTAGATGTTCAGTTACACAAAAATAACAACTTAAGAACTCCCCTCTTTCCGCACTGACCTGACGGCCACTGTGTCCGTACCAACCAGTCAGACGCCACGCCACTGGCGCACCGGTGACCGGCCTCAGGCAGGAGTGGCTGAAGGTGTGGATGCCGATCCGGGCAGGCAGAGAGATTGGCCTCGGTCTTCGGTGGTCGGAGAGAAAGACTGAGGTAAACTCCTTGAAGGGTCCGGGTACTGAGGTTTTGTCAGCTTCAAATGAATCCAGCTTTTCTTGAATGCGTAGCGAAGGGTTCTCGTTTTGGAAGGCAAGTTATATGAATTCTTCGAGCGTTGGACCAGAATCCTCTGGTCCAAAGAGGGTATGTCGAGACCACAAATTGTTTCCTCCTCTAGTTCTCGTCTCTGCCTCCTTTCTGTCACACTTTGCTCGAGAAGCAAACGATCAATTTCAATCAGTTTCGCCCACAAAGACCTCCATCCGTGAAAACCCTTGAAGTGCGAAGGCTCGATGCTCCAAGTGACATATTCCAAGGTGGAGACTTTGGAAGCGACACCGAACTCCAAAAGCATGGCTTCGATCCTCAATTGTGTTGGGTGAGGTGAGGCGCCTTTTTCGATATCTCATGAGCGGTTTCCAAGGAAGCAAAGTTCTGTGGAATTCTGAAAAGAATACACGAAAATAAGTGAGATAGCACATTAGGTTCACAATTTGGTTGAATCTAAGCTTAGTTCGATGGTGGGTATCTCTATATAAAGGCAAAGCAACATAGGGCCAAAGGGCCAAAACAACTTGTCAATCTTCCAATCCAAGTGATCGATGCTTCGCGTCCATGTTCTTTCTTTCGAAGCGTTTCACCTCCTTTCTTTCTGGAAGAACACTTGTCTGGAAGCGTTTCTTTTCTTTCGAAGCGTTTCACGATCTGAGAAAGGAAGAAGCCGTTGGGCGACCAGCGCGCCCACCCGCGGTCTCTTCTTGGGCCAACGGTTTGCCGTGGCTCCAAGGTGTCAAGGAACCCAAGACCAGCCAATGCCCTCCAAGGGCTGCTCCAAGCAGCGGCATGGCGTCCTTTGGAGGCGTCTCCCAGATGAAGGGGGGGCCTCTGGGAGAATCTAATGAGAAAACGAATGTGTTGATAGCCATGGTACTGCAGGGCCGGCCCAAGATGTGACGGTGTTCAGTAGTGGGGGACGCGCGTAATGAAGGTGTCACCATTGACAAATGCAATGTTGGGAGGCAGCCAAGGGTGAGTGCACTTTTGTGCTGTGGGAAGCAGTGACATTCCTCCAAACAGGTGGAGAGTTTGCAGTTTTCTTGATTTCTCGTCATCCCAGCAAAGAATTTAGAAACGCTTCCATCAACAATAACGAAGCGCATGAGCTAAAATCTGGCGTAGAATTGGTGTTGACTGGGAGAAGATATCGTCCCGTCATATGTGGACGGCACGCCAAAACGGACCAACAAAAAACAGACTTCGTTTGGCATTTTGGTGTCAACTACCCCAGCAGGATCAACCGAACTCCTTGGGAATCGGATGGTTAGTTACTTTTATGGGAGGCAAACGTATGTACTTAAGAAGGTCTTTGGAAAAAGGATCGGAATCGGAGTCCTTTAAGGAGGCCAGGAAGCGCGCTGTTGAGTTGAGATCTTCGGAATCATAGGCGACAAACTCATCGAAGGCTGGCCATCGAAGGGGTTCAGGACCCATTTGACGGACAAGCCTCATCAGGTCTTCGACAGAGTCCTCCGGGCCATGCGCCGTTGGAGTGGTGGCACGCACACCCACACACAGCATGATGGCCGTGGCTCATTATGTTATGGTTGAGAAATAATAACGCATTTTCGATTTTAAGGGAACAAGGTTCGCCTTTTGAACTAGTACATATCGGAGAAATGCCTTCCTGTTCAAAACACAGACACAAAGTGTTGCTTCTCTTTCTCTCTCTCTCTCTCTGCACATATAATCATGTATGTATAATTATAGATAGGCTTGCGTTTGCCCATTTTGACTGTGCTGACCAACCCTTTTGGTCAGTGATCATGAACGATCCAGCCAAGATCACAGTCTAGCGTAGGCCGCAAAAAACCAGATTGGAGACTTACCTAAACCTCATGAAGTGCTTCATCCCTGAAACCCTGAAGGGCATCATGTGTGCACACATCAAAACCCCTTTGTAGATGGTAAAGTATCATGAAACCAGTTCGAGCGTTCTCCAGGTCAAGTTAAAATGGCTTGACAGAACCCAAGTTCTGTGATACGACAGCTCTGAACTGCTTCAAAGTTCAGTGACGGGTCGACGGATGTACGAACCACAGTAGAAGTTCCATGTTTGACAGTCTAGGTCTCGGTCCTGGGGTTAAAGGCTCTAACATAAAACATTTGAATATCATTTGAATATACATATATACACATCAGAAAGGCCTCTTGTGGGCGGCAGAAAATTGAGACAATTGGGGCATATATCATATATTGGAGCAAAATTTGAACAAATCCACAGCTTACCACTGGCTTTGCTGCATGGGTGGCATGAGAGGATGTGTGCCTGTATTTGGTCGCGTTTGTCTGCTGCACTCTAGAAGCACAGATGAATCTGGATTAATCATACTTAATGTAAAAGCAACAGTTTTCACAACAAGACTCCTACTACTACTACTACTACTCCTACTCCTACTACTACTACTACCACTACTACTACTACTGCTACTACTCCTCCTACTCCTACTACTACTACTCCTACTCCTACTACTCCTACTACTACTCCTACTAATCCTACTCCTACTAATCCTACTCCTACTACTACTACTACTCCTACTACTACTCCTACTACTACTCCTACTACTACTACTCCTACTACTACTCCTACTACTACTACTCCTACTACTACTACTCCTACTACTACTACTACTCCTACTACTACTACTACTACTCCTACTACTACCACTACTACTACTACTACTCCTACTACTACTACTACTACTCTTACTACTACTACTACTCCTACTACTACTACTACTCCTACTACTACTACTACTCTTACTACTACTACTACTACTCCTACTACTACTACTACTCCTACTACTACTACTCCTACTACTACTACTACTACTCCTACTACTAATCCTACTACTACTCCTACTCCTACTACTACTCCTACTCCTACTACTACTCCCACTACTACTACTACTACTACTCCTACTACTACTACTACTACTACCCCTCCTACTACTACTATTACTACTACTACTACTACTCCTACTACTACTACTACTACCCCTCCTACTACTACTATTATTACTACTACTACTACTACTACTACTCCAACTACTACTACTACTACCACTACTACTACTACTACTACTACTCCTCCTACTCCTACTCCTACTACTACTACTCCTACTACTCCTACTCCTACTACTACTACTACTCCTACTACTACTACTACTACTCCTACTCCTACTACTACTACTACTACTTCTATTACTACTACTACTACTACTACTTTCTATTACTACTACTACTACTACTACTACTACTACTTTCTATTACTACTACTACTACTACTGCTACTACTACTACTACTACTACTTTCTATTACTACTACTACTACTACTACTACTGCTGCTACTACTACTACTACTACTACCTACTACTACTACTACTACTACTACCGCTATTACTGGCGAGCAGAACTTCCTAGAGAATTCCTATAGGTTGGAACTCGAAGCATCGTGCGCGTCATCTTCAACCGCCGTTGACTGTAAACTTTTCGGGAGCTGAAACGTGGGAGCTGTTTCATCTAAGTGGAAAACCGTGTGTTTTTCAAACTCCGCCGCCCACCATGAGACACCTGTTGTTTTCAACCAACACATGTCATGGGGCACTTGTCATTTTCAAGTCAGACGCCAAACTGCCTGGCCACCTATTTAAAGAGGAATCTGGAAGGGAGGATTGGTTTTCACGGGTCCCTGTCGCAACAAACCCTCTACCCATAGCTCTGCCCAATCCAAATGCTGAATTCACGCCGCGTAGCAAGACCAAGGCCCCATCCATTTCCTTGGCAAAAACCAACGGAGCGGAAGAAACACATTTCTGTATGACCATCTCGAATGCGTCGAATTCACGCCGGGGAACTCACACTCACAAACCACCAAGGCCCCGCCTCTTCCCTGGGCAAAAGTGCCACGCTAGTAGTAACAAGTGCCTTACTACTAGTAACAAGAAGCTACTAGGAACAAGTGCCACGCTAGTAGTAACAAGTGCCTTACTAGTAACAAAAAGAATATGATTTGAATTGTAATTGAATACGCTTGTACACCAAATTGGCCATGTATAGGCTGACAAGCCCGTGGAGATCAAATGCAGCTCTGTGATGGCAGGGTGGCCGCTGAACCTGGAAAGGGTTCTTCTCAATCTGCTGCCCATGAGCAGGCATATTGAATGATCGAGCCTTCATTTAGTTTACAGCCTGCCTACTTCCGCAGGGTTTTGCTTTCTCTGGGGTGCTTCTTATTAAAACTGGTTCGCTGCAAAACAAGCTCATGGCTTCTGGGCTCCAGGCAGAAGGTCACCAGCACAAGGTCCACCTTCAGCGGTTCATGGATTCTTTGCTGGCCAAAGCATCGAAAATCCGAAGTCTCGTCAAAGAGTTGTGTGGCTACAAGGGAACTGAAAGGTTTTGGACTCAATGGTGAATACTTGACCGTTGTGGTTTTTGCTTGTTTTGCGTGCACCTTCGTCAACTGCCCATCATACCACAGGTCTGTGGATGAGCTGAATGAGCATATTCAAAAAGTGGAGGGCCAATTCGATGCACTCAATGATGAGATGGCAGTTGGTGACGCTCGAGGTTTCACATCTGAGTGTGAAGCTGAGTAATTCTTTAGGAACACTCAAGTGACAAGAACTGTTTTCGTGTTCGATGGCGCTCAATTATGGAACAAAACCCGATTATGGGCCAGGGGGCAGTGCTGGAATCAGAACACAAGAAGACTCATGTTCAGCTGCCTGAATGCATCTAGTTTGGAAACTCCATCACTCGACTAGCTTAATCGCTTTGAATACCCGTGCGGGGAGGAAAGCGAAGAAGCACTTGGACAAGCTGACGCCTGAGGAGGGCACTGCACGTCGCTCCTTAAAGAGGAGTTCTGAGGGCCACGCCAGATCTCCCATGTGTCGCCGAGATTGCAAGTGCAACGTACGCTGGACCGTTCTTTGCAAGCCATCTTTGCACAATATGTGGCGCAGGGCTTCATAATTTTGAGTTCTAGCTAGTGCAGCTGGGGCTGTGTGAGGTTGAGCATGTGACTAACATGTGCGTTTTAACGAACGAGGTTGACAGAAAACACAGTTTTCGTTGTTCCTCCAGTCGCTCAACTCTGAATGTTTCCCTGCCACACTAAGAGTCTTGCTTTGACCACAGCTTCAGCTTTGGCTTCTGCTGCCCGGGGCCACCAAACCAGAAAATGGCAGCGGTGGCCAAGGTGTGTGATGTGGAGTTTTGGAAAACCTGGTTTTCACTTGCAGGAAGGACAAATGCAGCATCCTGACCTTTTCAACGGTTCGGTGCTAGAAGGTATATATATATATACCTTTCAGGTTGGCCAAAGTAGCATGCATCGTGCTGGCGCCAAAGAGCTCAGGAGAGAATTGCAGGCACTATCATGCTTTTACCACCTGAGAACCCCTGTTTTTACATGAAAATCCACATGATACATGTTCCCCCAATAAGGTTTGGGAATTATGATGTTCACTGTTGACACTAGGACGCTGCTTTCATCACCCGGTGAGATTTTCTTGCCCAGCTGCTCAACTCAAAACATGTGCCCTCTCAGCCTGAGTTAGATTCACCCTTTACTGAGTTAGATTCCAGATTCAGTTGAGTTCTGAGCTGCACCGGTCACCGACTGATCAATGGGAGAAGTTTGAGTATGAGCATGAGGCATGAGTGTAAGCCCCCATGGTAGAAACTCCCAGTGCTCCTGGTAGAAAAGTTCAAGCGCCTTTTTCTAGCCCCTACGGAGCTCCAACCTTATTGGCGAAGGTGATGATGGCAACTCTGAGATCCACCTGTGATGAGACTGATCCGATGACAGTGTAAATTAAACTATGTGGACAAGAAACATGGAGTTGCCTTTCAACACCATTGTCCTGACGAATCCGCGGGCGGCAATTCAAGCTCCGCTTGCGTTGGGCCGACCCAATCTGGTGTGCCTGAAATGCAATGCAAAACTCTCAACTACTACTTGCTACAGAACTTCCTACTACTACTACTACTACTCCTACTGCTACTCCTACTGCTACTACTACTACTACTACTACTACTACTACTAGACTTCTCAGGAAACACTATTCAATCTGAATTCTTGTGAAAAAACAAAAACACACAAAAAAAAACACTGTTTCCACAACTAGTCTGATCTCTGGACTAGTTGCCAAATCTTTTTTGTTTTGTTTTCTCGAGGTTTTGGTCTGATCCTGATTCACTTGGATCAATCCTGAGTAATTACATTAATCAATTTTAAAGTGAACATCCTTTAGGCAAAGCTGATCAATGCTTTGTATTTTCCATTGAACAGTGATTATTCACTTGTATTTTCCTTTCAACATGGTTATAATCCATTCCTTTTAAATTCGTTTAAACAATGATTAACTCATTTCATTTCTATACATGATTATTTCATGTTATTTCCCTTTAAAGAGAACTAATTTTTCATTTTTCTTAAAACCAATATGGTTTCTTTATATTTTCCTTTTAACCATGATTAATTTGTTAAGTAATGAGCAGAATTGGTATGTTTTAAACAACAAATCAAAGGAATTGATCATTGTTCAAAGGGAACATGCAAGGAATTATATCAATTTATGATTTTTAAAGGAAACTGAAAGGAATTGTTCATCCTTTCTTCATTGTTTCCTGTTCATCTTCTATTGCTAGAGTACTGTAATTCTTTTTCTTGATTGCCATGTCCAGCTCTATTTTTCTGATTTTGGTTCCTATTTCTCCGGAACCAGCATGTGCTTAAAAGTGCAATCTGTTCATACCTGACTTCATTTCATTTAGGATTTGCAAAAAACAATAACATTTGTCTCAATTTTCTGCCACCCACAACAGGCCCGTCTTATATATATATATTATAAACACGCACAATCACGCACACACACTCTCACACACACACACACATTCAAGTGCGTCTCTCACTTACCCGCTGCTGCGCTTCACCTTGAACAGAAAAGGGCCCAATGAACAGTCGCCTTCACTGAGAAATGAGGTCAAACGATGTGGGTTTTTCCTTCACAATCCAAGAGAGGTTGAGTGACCTTATAGGACCCGTAACCTGGGGTACCTATGGGATAGTCTTTGGGGTTCTTCAACCTCTCTTGGATGTCAACCTTCTTCGAATCGAACAGGCCAAGAGCGGCCTTTTCCCCGTGTCAAGTCCACTCGGCGAGCGGACTTGTTTCTTGTCGAGGAGTTTCCACGCGCCACGCACAGCCAGCGGACTGCATATGGGTTGATGTGCTAGACCGCCGACAAAGTACTCTTCTCATCTCTTCTCTTCGAAAACTATCAGTCCAAAGCATGTCCTTTGAGGAAAATTGAAGGTTTCATGCACATCATGAATCTATTGCTTGTACCCCTTCGACCCCTTCGCCACCGGTTCAAATTCGACCATCCGGGCCTTGCTCCAGCGCCGACACCGCTGCTCCATGGATTGCACCGTTGGCACCTCGTAGCGCGGCCAAAGGACCACGCCGCCGCGGCGGAAGTCCTCCTCAACGGAGGGGAAGGGGGCGCCCTCGGGCTGGTTCGAACCGGTTGATTCTCACCCGTTTTGGAGTGGGCTTAGGGTTTTGGAGTCTGATGTAGTTCATGTTCTATTTTTTGGTGTGCGGGTGTGAGTAACCAGGCTTTCTGTGGAGCTTCCAGGATTTTTTGGGGGCTCGGAAACCAACTGGACGGCTGGAAGAATTCTGGCATTAACCATTAACCACTCCATTAACCAGGTCCTTCTAATTGGGGTGCCAGGGTTTGCTCGTTGTCATACATAAGCACTTCATTTGTCTCTCCCCGAACTCCACTCAGAGTAGTCAAGTAGTCACGTAAGTCTACAGTGATATAAGTAGCAGTTCGAAAGTAGGAGGTTGAAGAACACATATAAGTAGTTCATCTCCTGCAAAGAAATGCCGCTCTCCTGAAAGATGTGCGGCACTGAACGGGGTGCTGGCCGCAAGCGTGAGGGCTGACTGATCACACGATTTCCAGAGAGAGCCGCGCAATCCTTGGAATCAATGACTTGCACTGTGAAGCAAACAGGAACATTTTGCGCATCAAGTGGACCGTTGATTGATATAACATAACATACCCCCCCTACTAGATTACTTTTTAGATCGCCAAACAACGGAGTGCTTCATTAACATGGACCGCCCAACGCCCTGAAGTTCTGCACCTCAGGGGTGGACCGCCCAGTTCCACTTCAATGTCAAGACTCCACATCGGCCAAGTACTGTGGGACCCAAAAGCTCGAGTGCCCCTCGGTCTGCAAAGAGACATCACACACAGCCCCACAGCCTTCCAGCAGCCGGGGCCGCAAACGGGAGTAGTAGAGATCTTCTGTGGCGTAGTAGGCTCCTGCGAGCGGAAGCGCGATCCAGGCCTGAAACACGTGTGTTCTAAGCAACAACTAATAGACTGACCAAGCATGAACTCTGAACTTGCACAACCAACCAGTAGAACAAAGGATTAAAACAAGGGCACCTTCTTGATCTATTGCTAGCTGCTGTCCCTAACATCCCACAAACTAACACATGCAAATAGATTTGACACCCTCTCCAAGCGCTGTAAATCTTCATGGGCCAATGGGCCAGGATGCTATGATGGCAACCCGCCAAGAAAGGTATAAAACACAACAGGTTCTGCTCTAAGTCAAGGAGGAACAAACACCTGTCAGGGGACCAAGCTCCACTAATGGTTCCAATGCGAGGAGGTTTCATCCTGACGTCTTCATGGCTGGACTGGACCCGCCTTGTGCGCACTGGAAGACTTTCTCTGCCAGTGAGAGCTCTGTCAGCTCTTGGTCTTTGAAGGAGAGATCCATCCAACTCCTAAGCTGGTTCGGTCAAAACTAAACTGAGGAACTGCTTTGTCTAAAGAGTATGGGTGAACTTACAGCTACGAGTCCAGCTTAGTGGCTCCGGAAACGGTGCTGTGCAGCACTGTGACCAAATGGAACTTTAAGACATCCGCCGACCCGGGTTTGGACGAGGGGAGGCGCCGGGCACTCACTCACTCACTCACTCTCTCTCTCTCTCTCGCTCTCTCTAACTCTCTGCCTCGCCTCAGTATGTAAACTTTTACCGAATATTGCAGGGCAGCCTCCACTACTTTTGAAAGGTGGCAAAGCATCCTGCTTGTGCTTCATGCAGGTGGCCACTTGCGTGGCCACCCGCACTTGCACTTCCAAAGCCTAGCGACCACCCAACGGCAAAAGTGCCCGCGCTAGAATGCCATGAGGAACCCATTGCACTAGAAATATAAATCTATATATATTATATTTAGATATATATAGAATATATATATATATGTTTTTATAGATTATATATTACATATAATATATATATACATATATATAAATATGTATTTAACTATTCAACAAGACACATGCTAGTAAACGTAGTGTGTACACCTTTTAAACAACTATACATTGATTGACTTATTTTCCCGCTTTCCGATTCGTCCAAAAGCACACTCGTTTCAGCACACGACTATAAACCTCTTGGAGGACGAGAACCCTCTCAACTATGCAGCGGCGCCGATGAATATTTCATCGGGCGGTTCAGTAGACAATTTACATGCAAAATCATACGAACATGCGTTTATTTTCAACATAATTAGTCGATACCGGTTAGCGACTTACACGGAATGGATCAACGTTGTGCCTTGAGGGAAGTGCCAACGCAGCATTGTTTGCTTGCTTCTCTTTGCTGTTGGGTCCGATCGGATGGTTCGACGCCCAGTGCGGATGTTAAATCACCATGGAAATCGGATAGAGTTTTTATTGGTGCGCGCAGGGTGTGTGACTGTGCGAGAAGAATTTGATCAGGGTCGGGGAGTGTGGGTGGTTATGCTGTCATCAGTATCCTAGAACTTGTCATTGGCATCATAGAACTTGTCATCGGTCATCGGTATCATAGAACTTGTCATCAGTATCATAGAACTTGTCCTCGCTATCATAGAACTTGTCATTGGTTTCATAAACCTTGTCATAGACTAGTTGTGTGTTTTAAACTGGGGTGAGGGGGTGGGGGGCATGGGTTCATTTTGTTTTATGTTGCCGATGACATGAATACATCACTTGATTGACCCTTACCCCCGACACACCGGTCCGACACGCCCGTCGTTTCGACCTCCGAGTGGCTGCCAGATCAGGATCACCTCCATCGATCCCAGTAGAGGAACCCCAGTGATGTCTACCAAGGCATGCTCGCTCTTCATCTGCAGAAAAATCTCCGACAAGGCCTCCTCATGACATTCGACCGAGTGCGGGTGAGGTGAGTTTCTCACGGCTTTTGCTGGACACAATTACCCCAACATTTATGGAGATCATTGTGCAAGACAAAGAACTCCCACCGGCCGGAAGCCCCAATGAGCCCCTAGAGTCAGACCCATTCTCATTTGTTCATCTTCCCTCAACAAAAACACAGGTTGCAAATACAATCTGTTTGTTTGGGGAGGGGTAACTTACAGCATACCACTGATCAACTTCCTGGTCCTTAACCATTCCTAACGATCTTGGTTGCTGAGGGCTATTCTGGGACACACGACAGAATTGAGTTTGTCAGGCTGCATGATGTTACGTTTCGGAAGGAACATACACAATTGGAGTTGGGGGTTCCTCGTCGGATTTGAACACACCTCTTGAACTGTACAAATCCCCAAGCCGGAGATGATGTCAATGTCTCTCCCAAACACTTGAAGCACCCCAATCCTTCGTGAGCAGGTGAGCAATTGGGGCGACCGGCGCTTTCAGATTTTGAGACATTTCTTGGAGCCATTGATGGGCTCCACATTCATGAAGAGGGCTTCAAAGGCTGAGAAGATTGAGGTGAGTGCTCAGCCTTCAAGCGCAAACAGCCGCGCAGGCTGGCAGGTTCTGCCATGGACTGATGAAGCAGCCGGCCGCAACCGTTGGTTGCTTCCGTTGGTTCGTGGTGTTCTGAGGCCTGGAGGGCCCTGAACAAGGTTCAATTCGACGGCGGAACATCCAAACGGGCGGGTGGAACAGCTTTTGGAGCACGGGTGGATGAATTCTTGAAGATGATATACGGGCTGCCACCATGGTGTATCCTGGTGATTGGAAGACTTCAGCAGTGGTTTAATCTCTGAGGACCTGAAAGGAACGAGTCTGTCCATGAAGTGTCGAATGAAGCACCCTCCTGCAAGCGTGGACAAGAAGGCATGGAGGAAGGAGATCTAGGCCCGATGGAAGGAGGCCCGTGTGTTTGGTCGAAGAATGGAGGAAAGAAAGGAAGGACAGTTGATGGCAAGAAGTAAAGGAAAGAATGGTGATAGCAAGAAGTGAACATTCTCATGGTCACAGTCCAAACATAGTAAGAAAGGAAAACAAGGAAAAACCAGTGGGAAGACAACCGGGAAGAAAGGCAAGAAGCCAATGCAAGGGGCCTATCGTGTGTTCATGCCACTCATGTGGCGAGAGGCAAGATGATCTTGGGGCACTACATATGCCAAGGACCGTGGGACACCAAAAGGGGAGCTTGTCCAACGTGTTGAGGATGAGACAACCTCAGAACGTCAAGGAACTGACTACACCTCTGTCACCAATGGCCACCAGGCAGTTTCGAGGAGACGACAAGTCACGCTAACCGGGCGTGAGTGATGCTCAAGATCTTCGACTGAACAACAAAGGAGGCGAGGATGAGGCTGGAAGCTACAATGAGGAAGATGGCCCATGGCTATGCCGTTAGCCATTCGAGAGGTGCAGGAGGACAGCGAGGAGGAGCTGTTCTTTGATTGGGAGGAGCCCCAGAAGACAGTTGAGGAGTACGCGAAGAGGTTGAGGAGGCGGAAGGAAGTACAAGCGGAGGAAAGACTTTCGACTTAACAAGATCCTGACGAGCCAAAGCAAAAAAAGGTTCAGAAGGAAAAAGGAACAAAATAGCATGGTCAAGAACCCTTTGGCATTGGAACATGTTGGAACCACCCACCATGCAAACACTTGATTCCGGTGCAGCAGTTTCAGCACCGGAGGAGTTCCACAAAGCTTGGAGAGCCAGGAAATGCAAGTGGACTCTCCACAAGGTGGATGCCCAAGGTGAACCAATTCAGTCATCTAGCAATCGTCGGTTGCATTGCCATTGTGGAGTTTGTGGAGCAGTTTGCATTAGGCCACGGGTGACACACGGTCTTTTGCTTGAGGCAAGCCTGATTCTCGCAGGATCCAGAAGATTTGTTTCTGGAGCACAAGGCACGGAATTGGCAGATCCCCGCGAGACTCGAAAGGAATTCGTTGGTCATGGATGTGAAAGTGTGTGAAATCAGAGCTGAGGAGACTGAGGCTGCAAAGGAGAGGACGGACGTGGCAAAGAAGAAGGATGAGCTTCATTGAGGAGTTGAATGACCATGAAGACAAGAAAGGGAAGTGGAAGGCGAGCGTGAAGAGTGCATGGAGAACCTGAATCCTGGCCTGAGGATGAGGCAGACAGAGAACGATGAGATTTTCCAGTCCTGGCAGCCCCAAATGACCCCCCCAACACAACCACCATTGCTACCTCAAGCCCTACACCGCTCGTCAGCGGTCATGACAGAACATCCATGGCGGTACTGGCGATGGTTTCATCTGTCTCTTCGGTCATGGCACCGAAGCATCCACTGAACACGGTCAATCTACGTGGACTGCCGAACTTGACTAACCTGCCCATCTGGACGTCTGCCCATGGGTTTCGCGGCCACAACGCCCACGGACGCCTGGAACTGGCGCCACACCTCTTCCACTCGCATGGCCAGGTGGTCGCGTGAGGCTAAGGAGACCCGCTGTTGCAACGCAGCGCTGAAGATGGTCAAAGCGACCAAAGCTGAGAGGCTACCTGAGAGGATGGAGGCTTGGCCATAAGTTTTTGAGGCCAAGAAATCCAAGCTTTTGTGATCAAGTAGCATGTTGTCCACTATTCTAGTACACTACCATCGTTTGACAATCGGTTGAAATCCTTTCTCTTCCTTGTTACTATAGAGGGCCGAATGAGGGAAGACCTCCGATTCCAATACACACCCATGGACCCATGTGACGGGCCGATGTGGGTGTATCTTTAAAGCAACAAACAGCTATTCAGTGGCCGAGGTGAACATGGCCGAACTGCAAACAATGCGCAAACAAGCCTGAAATGGTGAAATTTCATGAACGGCAGGAGGGAACATGAAATGACCACGGACGGCTGATCGACGAGACACATTTATTGATTTATTGACTGCAATCCCTGCCCTTACTCAACATTATATAGAACCCTATACTATATCACACATCATTGTAAGACCAGGCAACCCCAACCATCTCTGGCCACAAGGCCTTTGGTCAGGGCGCAGGCCTCTCGCACGTGGGTCCACAGGTTTGCGGTCTCTTCCTTGAGGGCTGCCCTGATCTGCTCAGCTATTGCAGCAAACTCCTGCGCGCACGGAATCCGAATCTGGCAAAATGGGTTAAAACCCATTGGATGGGCCATGGGCCATCATCATTTTGAAGCTTTAGCATGCTTTAGCCTAGTAGCTTGCTTCCAACGACATCAAACAATCACCATGGTTTCTGCTGCGCTCCAGCTCTGGCATGCCCGCCATCATCTGTGCTGTACGCGCTTGCGATGAAGGCCCCGTGGTGTCCGGGCAAAGCGAGGAGGCACGGAATGGGAAGGAGAACCACCTCACGCTGCTCACAGAGTGCTATTTGCATGTCCACTTCAAGAGAGAGAGAGAGAGAGAGGGAGAATGCCCTTGTTACTATAGTAGAGAGAGAGAGAGAGCAAATCTCTGCTTAGTGGGAAATACCTAAACATCTCATCACCTTCTCAGCAGAAACAGCGTTGAATTGGCTAAGCTGAACGATCATGATAACCATGTTTCAGAACCTCAGTGTATACCCAGTGATTCACTCACAGTATGCACCCGCATCTTCAACAACCAAAATGCATCCAACACTCCTCCTTGCTCCTCCTAGAGCTGCCTCTCTCCGCCTTTCCCTGTCCATGCCTAGGATCTCGGTCGAGCTGAACAGCCAAGTGCGCGTTGTGGAAGATCTTCTCTCGCGGCCATGGCGTGGTGAGCAACTCCCACTGTGCAGACGAACAGCACCTCGCTTGGCTCGGTACTCGGTTTCCCCACCGGACGCAAAACGGACCGAAAACGGACGTCCGTTAGACGGACCCGCACCGGTTAGACGGCACGGGCGGCGGTGCGACGGCGTGCCGCGGTGCGCGGTCGAAGGGATGCGTGCGAAACGGGAGTGGCGAAACGAGGGCGATGCGGACCGGAATTTGGAGTGTGGAGCACCATGGAGCACCATTTCAACCGACCAATGGGTGCAATCTTCAAAAAGGGTCTCTCTGTACAAGGAAGCTGTGCTTAGTAGGGGTTGAGCTTGCATGAACTGCCCCGACATCTGGCACCAAAAGGCTTTGTCAACAGCATTGGGTTGTCGAAAGCAATGTTTTTCAAGTACAGGTTATATTTTGGTCAGTATTTTGGTCATTGGGATTCATCTCAAGTCAAGAAGAACTCATTGTCTTGCGCATTTGATGTCATTGAATTCAGTATCATTTGGTCATATTTTGGTCATTGGTTGAAGACATTTCCCAGCTCACCCATGTGCCGCTTCCGAGAAAGACACCTCCCAAACACCCATACCCAGCTCACCGCGGTCACTGGGTCGACCCCGCGGTCATCGGTCCCAGGGACTCCTCGAAGGTGTCGATGCTGTCCCAGCAATCAGGGTTCCCCGTCGGTCCAAAGCGTTCGTCGCAGCAGAGGTCGAAGGAGATGTCGCCCTTGTGGTAGCACAAGCGTACAGTGCGTGAACCGTGCGTCCCAGAGGGGACATCCAGAACGTAGGATTGAACAGGATACCTGTCTGACATGGACTGTGGAGAATTTCTTTCAAACCAACTTCTGTTTGAGGCGAGCGGCGGTTTGATTAGTTGTATATATTACATATCCATCACCTGCGAAAGCCTCATAGCAAAGCTGAAAATCATCCTGGATACAGGCTTGTATCAAAGGGCACACGCGGATAATATGATGCCAAGATCGGCCATGGGCAAAGCAGCCATGCGACGCCAACACTTGGCATCAAAGCCCTAAAATGCTTTAAACTAAGGATGTATGATGATTCATGACATCTTTCGGGTGTCGTCCCCCTCATGCATCTTCACTCACAAATGGTGTGAAATATGCGACCCGAAAGCTCACAAGATCAGATTTGTGCTGCGCTCCGCACTGGAAACCATTGGTCACTGGCAGGGTTTCACTCAGTCCGAGGCCGCGCGATATGGATTCTTTCCGGTGGCTTGGACAAGCCGGGGCCCCAATGGAATCGGGCTTGGACAGGTAGGTGCACGTTTTGGGAGCATCTCTAGAAAAAACGGCCCCTGGGACTGAAGAGTGCCCGGGTTTTGATCCGTGCACCTTGTAACTGGAGCCTGGAGCCTTGCGATCATTCCAGACAGCCCTTTCCTTTCCACCCCTTGTATTCCGGCCTCGGGTTGGGATGGCCTGCGGAGAACATGATGATATGGAATAGAATTTGATGTTATAATTAGGATAGTAATAGGAACATATCAATAGAACATATGATAGTAATTTGATATGTCATATACATGCAATAGGAACATATCAATCGTCTTTCAGACTGTCATGCTGCAACCAGCCCGAGCGTTTCCACTCCTCGGGATATTGGTCAGCGTGAACTCGGATCCCTAGTGTACAGAATGTGCACCACTCCTTACCCAGCTCGCTACCCATCATGGTCATGGGTGGCAGCCACCCAAGACTACCACGCTGCAGTATAGCTCTTTGCCAATTGCACCTTTTTGAGCCTTTTGGTACACTTCACACCTGTTACGTACCAGCTCCTGCCATCCGCCCTCACGAAGACTCCGTGTGGAAACGAGTGGAAACATCAACCCATGCACCTCTCTCCAACACCCTCAACATGTCATTTCATACTTTATTCAGGTCTATTCAGGTGTTACGCCTATACTCAGCAAGCTTTCACCCCATGGATTCTTCAAGCCCACCCTGCCACGCCACACGCAGCGCGTATGCGCTTCAACTTTCACTCCGCTGGTTCGCTAGGTCGCTAGGTCTAAGAGAAACCCGTGTGAACTCGGCTGTGGGAGCTGGTTGTAGCTGTGGGAGCTGATGGGCCAAACATGAACAAACACACCATCCACGGCCATAGAGCCGCTGGTGGCCGGCCAGGTCTTGGCTGGAAGAGCTTGACCCCCTCTTTGTGTTGGCTGGTATCGAATGGTGTCACGCGACATGATCATCCCCCATCCTGAACGTATTCACACCTGACCTGTTTTTGGACGCTACTAGTATTTGGCCGAAAACTACTGGAGACCTCAATCAAAATACAAAAGCCGCAGTTGGCTGTGCGGCACATAAAACATCTGCTTGTTTGTAATGGTGCTCTTGCCGCTGCATCAAGAATCATCAAGAAATGCTGACATGAGACTCCGAAAGTCTTGTGTGAGCACATGCAGGCCTAACACCTCTTGCGCTTGACGGTTGCAACATGCTAGCAAAAGAACGGCAGCAACCTGTGCAAACACTTTCTGTCTTGCAGCCTTTGGCAGTTTGAGGGTGCTTGGGTGGAGGCCAAGGATGTACCAAAGCCCAAGGACGCATCAATCGCACAGCCAAAGAGACGCTCCAACAGTCGAAAGGCGGCGCCCCGCGCTACCCTGCCGCTGGGCTGGCGCCAGGGCAATCCTTCGCCATTCGCCAGCCAATGCAAGCTGTAGGAACTTTGACGCCCAAAAAACCTTAACCAACTCAACACACCTCCAAACTGCTGAACCCGTGAATCTGATCAATCCTGCAGTGAACCGATTCCGGACAAGCATGAGGTCGAGGACATGGTACCATTACCATTCCTTCCCCCATGTCTGGTACCCGACACCGTATCGAAAACGTACACCAAAAGAACCACGGCAGTCTCGATGGCATCTTTGTCAATGAATTGAACATCTTTAGCCTGCCTATAGCCTATAGCAAAGTACCATGGTTATTGTTTAACCAAATCCGGCAGATCTAGAATGTACTCTTTGACCCTTGTCCCTTGATTCTTGAGCCACACTCAAATGAGTAAGGAAGAATACAGAAGCCCTAACATCGCTATCCCTACTACAGGTTTCCTTCCTTGGTTACATCTCATCATGGACTTCGGTTTGGCTGCTCGCCCAGAGTCTAGGATTCGGGTTGGCTAGATTCCTGGATCTTCAGAGAGAAGCTCCATAGTACAGTTCACTGTTGATTAACCCCGCACCATGCCTGGATGGGCAACCCTCATCTCCAGGCTTAAGGGCTCTTTTTGGGGGGGCTTCTGAATAAGCTCCGCTTGCCACGATTGGATTCGGAGGCTCTGCTACTTCGACGTTCGACGTTTGCACCGATGGAGCCAACCCATTCTCTTCGGCTTCCGTCTGTACAAGGCCCTGCGCCGGGGCCATCATGCGCGGACGTGCTCGGACAGGCGGTCGCGGGCGGAACCGCGACCGAGGTGGTCGGGTTCCCAACTTCCAAGGCTTCGGATTGACGGAGAACTTCGGATTGGGTAGGTTAGGGTAACTTTCCGTACTTGAAGGCACTGGCCGTGCGGCCGTGCTAAAATGAGTTCTACAATGTATACTGCAGATTCTGTAGATAGGAACTCGTGCCCTGCATCTTTCAGTCTTGTGGTTTAACCCGGTCATCTGCCCATTGTGGAAGGACTTTGATATTCAACAAGCCAGAAAATGCAAGTGGAATCATGGTGTTCGTACAAGTAACTGGGTCAGAGAAATGAAACACAACTTGCCGAGCTTCCAACCAAACCTTGATTCCATCCACCCAGCTCGATCGCTGTGGGCCAGGTTTTTCCATCGCACTTGTCCGCTATTTTTGCACAAATCTCGGAATCGACCTCCGACCATAGACCATAAAGGAACATATAGCCTGGAAGTCCAGTTCGACTATATTTTGACCGGCTGAAGGTTTCAGGAAGTTCCCGAACTCAGTTCCCCGTTCGTCAGACCATTCGTTTTATAGTCTGACCGACTCCCAGGGATTTGCAAATCCAATAAAGGTGTCGTTTACGTGCCCAGAATTCCTTGGAAGCCATCCTTCGGCCGATGTTCAGGCCGTTTTCTTTTCGTGTACTGTGACAGCCGGAAGACATCCTCCGCACAAGAGATCCTACAAAGACCATTGGTGTCGGTTTACATGGTTATACCTAGATCTTCCAACTGTGCAACATTTCTGCCTTTTAAGCTGGCTTTATGGATGAAAAGGCATACATATTGCACAGTTGGAAGATCCAGATATTGATATGATCATCTGTAGGTTCTTTTCATGTCATATTTAATGATTCTAACATCAGGTTCTTTGTTCCGAATTGTCAGGGCCACCATCAATGTCTCCACCATCAATCCGTATGATCCAACTACCCTTAGGCCTTTCGACCTTTTCTGTGTCTTCCCACAGGTTGTTTGGCGTCAGGCGTCTTTCCACACATCCAGAAAGGTCAGTACTCCCTACTGTATGCCATATGCTATTGTCAGAACAAAAAGGTGTCCAAACGGCAAAGCAAAAAGGTGTCCACAACAGTTTCAAAGTCGTCTGCATCATCAGTCGACCGCGGTCCCGTTGCGGGTCGACCTCATTGGGCGGAAGAAACGCGTGTGACTCGCCGGCGTCGGCGTGGCGGTCCGCGTAAACGGTCCGTGCCGGTCGGTCCGCGCTGTTGGGAAGGGTGAGGCACCGAGTGAGGCATGAAGAAATCGGCCCCCCCCCCCAGGCAAAAAAAACACATGTGTTAGCAGTGCAAAAGCCAAGAAAATCATGATGTGCGTGGTTGGCCTCCACTGGTCAAACATCTGTTCAATGGTTTGGCCTCCAAGGTTTGGAGGTTGGGTCCCCCCAAATGTACGTGATCCCTACATGAAACACCAGTCTTCGCCCCTATGGAGTTGGAGAAGAACTTCTAAAAACCTCTCTCGTGGAGCCAGGCTCCAGTCGACCATCTCTTGGGGTCTATGCAGTCCCTTCGTCGGCTTCCTGGAAAGGTCGCTTGGATCGTCGTCCAAGCTGGTGGTTTTGGGAGGCTGATCTTCGCCAACATGGTTCGCTGAACGGTTAAAGATCACCGGAAAATTGCAGGTGGAACGAACAACGTGGTCACGATGCTTGAAATCAATTTCGTGGTAGGGATTGGGAAATTCGTCCCAGTCCATCCCTGATGCTGTGTTCTCAGTCTTTGTATATGGATGTTTTGCTTCCTCTGATCCCATATATCCATATATGATAGGCCAACAAATCCACTGGAACAGGTCTTTACCCCTATTGTCAAAATATGTTACAAAGCATGCATGACGTGAAGGATCTCCAATTCGTGGCTATGGCTCCAAGCCATAAGGTGCCAAACGAAACCTCCTGGTGATTTGGAAACAACCGGACTAACATTTGACCATATAAACCCCGCAGGTTCGTGGGTCTTATCGAGTCGTCGACAAGTCCATTCTCGCCCTTCCGGGTTCAGCACGTCCAGTTATGGCCTACACCTTCCAGTTGTCCAAAGCACCGGCAGATCTGGAGGAACTGACGAGTTTCACAAATCCAGCGAAGCACAGTGGTGTTGCACCACTGTGATGTTGTCTTTTTGTGTGATTTCCTATTTCATTTTCAGCGTCTTCAGGAAATCGGGAAAGACCCCAAGACGGGAATGCCAAACCTCAATCTGTCCGTTGGGCGTGGAACCTTGATCACACAATCTACTACTCTTTGTCAGATCCTCAGGCCTATGGAGTTAAAGGCGCAAGGTTACATCAAGGTACCGGTTGCACGGTTTGACACTTCAAACCGACAGGTTGCTTGCGGAAGCTACGAACGTGTTGTGGTGATCATCCATCGACAGGTCTTCCGGATATATAGTGAGCACCCCCGCCAGGATCAACAAAACAACAAGAATCAACAAGTAAGCAACAAGCCGGGGATCTTGTGTGGGGCTTCTTGCTGTAGTTAGGGAAGGGATGGGGGGCACGGCTGACATAGATGGCTACTGTGGCAGCTATGCCGTCAGGATTCAGTGCTTTTAGCTTGGCTTC